CTCCATGCGAAAAAAAAAACATGAAAATAATCAAAACACAACGGGATTGCTGCTAAGCTGCTCCACTGAGATGTACTTTAGCCTAAAGGACGGATCTGTACACTTTGGCTTTGCGCCAGTACACTTTCCCGTCTGGCGTGTGGCGTGTTTTGCCGGGTACATAACTGGCAAATTGCCAATAGATGCATCCGCGGCGCAGAGCGTTGCGCTGCGTGTTCCGATTCGGTTCTCATGTGTTCCCCAAACGAACGACTGCGTTCTTCGCTGGAGCTGAACTTACGGCTTTTGTTTGAAAATCCTGCAAAATTTTCATTTGGAGAGGTGGCGGCCTGGGATGCAAACCCTGTCGTTCGTACTGCAGCAAACATCCAGCTAGTACGGCTCTAAAATCGATTTTGGTTATTTCGACTGCTTTTATTTACGTTTATGAATGCTCAACAGCCCAACAGCGAAAGCAACCTCAGTTTTTTTTTATGCACCTTCCTTTTTCCCCTCGGAGTTTCGAATAGTGTGGTTTTTCCTCGGTTGTTTTCTTGTGCAACGGTCAAGGGCGTGCAGTAATCAGCACCTGCACTTTTGCTTTTTCAGTTTCATGTGCTGACTGTTGAAGTATTTTGGTGATTTTAATCAATGATCGATTCGAACAACATTGAAAATGTCGAATAATACCGAAGAACCTCGAGCTGAAGACTCTCCAGCTGTCACTGCACAGCCGATCGTGCCTGTTGATCTCCTTCCTGGTGAGAATTTAGATATCCATTGCAATTTATTTATAGTTTTTTGTGCATATTTGCGTGTTCATATTTAGCCGAACCTGAGCCTGAGGCGCCTTCTGAAGTTGAAAGAGAGGCTCCCGAAATCGCGCCGTCGCAGGAAGAGTATGAACCGCAACAAAATAATGAAGCTCCTCCTGTCGCGGATAACGCTTTGCCAGCTGCAGAAGTCACTTCACCTGTAAAAAGAATTGTCATCGCTGATTCTGACGATGACGTCACGGATGAGGAGGATACTAGCGGACGGGAAGCATTCATAGATGATCGTATCAAGGTTAGTTTTTTATTGATCGGTTATTTCTATCACTATCTATGCTCTTCCAGGAACACGACTACGCGTCGTTTAGTGCTCCTCGTCATCTTGAAAAAGTGATCGACGCAAAGGAGACATTCCCTGAAATTCCAGGACTATCAGAACGTAGGTTTTTAGATTACATATTCGGGTTACTAGGCTTAGGCCAGCAACATCAGT